TGAAGAGAAGAGGTAAGAGAAGAAGAAGTCGAATTAATCACCTTTCTCCTCTAACCCTATTTTATTAATCTCTAAAAAATTGATGATGACAAGTATACCCTTAAGTGGGCGGCCAACTTGGCAGTTACATAAAGAAAATAAAATAAAAACAAATAACAGGCCCATTAAGTGAGGCCCATCAATATAAAATAAAAGATAAAATAAAGGATATCACACAAAAGGTTGTTAGGGCCCATTCGGCCCAATCTCTTTACACTTTGGAAGAATATACGGCTCACCGAATTATTCAGCTCGATACCCAAACGATCTCATAGCTCGACCTAGTCAGCTCAAGAATAGAATCATCTCCTAGAAAGGGAACTTCTAGCTCGGCTTCTAACTCACTATCCGGCGCGGGAGCTGTCGAAACGCGCATCATCAATTGGCGTCGCCTGTGGGAAATGCAACAAAAGTCTAAGTTCTCACCTTCTGGATTGCTGAGTTTTCACCTTATAATTCCCGGTTTTATCAAATCAATGACATTTTTTAGCACTACCAACATCAAGAACAAGAATCAATTACTTGGGGGGCAAGAGCATCTGTGGTGAACCTTGATAACCCCCCTGTGACAATCAGTAGCAACCACGCCAAACTCAGCACTCCCAGTACCCCAGACAAACACACTGCTACCTCATGTGAATGCCCCTCTCCCCGCGATAGAGCCATCAGCGGTTCCCATCGGGATTGAAGCGCAACAATTTTATGAGCTGAAGCATGGATCTCCATATGTGGGCATGGGAAGAGCGGTTTAGTGCATTTATACTGTTGCAGAACAAACAGCAATAGAACGACCTCGACAACCAACAATCCGATGACAGGCACCTCAGAGTGAGGCCACCCCCACAGGTCGAGCCCTTCATGGTTTCCGCAGGGTTTGACAACCAGCAGACTATGAAGAAGCCCTACCAACCTCAACTCATTCTATGTTTATACTCAACAATAATTAGTTCGGATGAAGCCTCATCAGCTCTATTTCGCGAAGTTGCCTCTACAGGTCGAGCCCTTCGTGGATCCCGCAGGAGTTGGTGGGCAACGGACTGCACGAACACACTTGAAGGTTGAGTCTTCCAAGGCTCCCATGTGAGCTGGCGACCTATAGTTAGTAGAGTTGCCCCCACAAGCTGAGCTCCTTGTGGCTCCTCATAGGAGTAAACGACCAGCAGGCTGATGTAGTGTAGTCATGGCACCGAACTACCAGCCAATGTTGACAGCAACATATGCATCAGCAACCATCACAAGGAGGGCAGAACATGAACGACTAGCCCAAACAAGCTTTAGCGATCTGGCCCAGATTGTCTCCTAGCCTGAACTGCAAAGCCTCACTACTGATCGAGCTCTGTATGGCTCCTGTGAGAGTTGGAAATGAACTGGATGTGGAATCGGCCTCACAAGTCGAACCCTTCGTGGTTCCCATGAGAGTAGGCGACCTACAGATAGTAGAGCCTCCCATGACTCTAGTAGGAGCAGGCAACCAGCAATTTCAAGAGCAGGTGGTACATGTACGCCATGATCTCGCAAGCACCTACCTGGGGAAGCCAATCCCAAGTGACAACATAGAAGCAACCACATTTAAGGCTACTACAGAATGACCATCTGCTTTGGTGATCTGGTCAAGTTGAGTTCTAAGGGAAAGCCATGTCGCTTTTTAGCTAATGCACCCTCAAATTGACCTTGAAGCACATCGACAACAGGAAGACTGGCCTCACAAGGTCGGCCTCCCCCCCTCCCGGTTTATCTAGCTTGGAAGCACGCTTAAATCAATCTCAAAGGACGTTAGCATCTAACCACTGAACAAAAAAAAAAGAAGAGAGAAAAAGAAACGAAGGAAGGGAAAACTAGTTTGCTTTTAGCACTGTTGCAAATACACAAAATTGTCGATCTCTTCACAGCTGACCTCTACCTTGGTTTTAGGCTCCTCATCGACCTCACCGGCTACTCTTTCGAGAACCGTCCTGAGAGACATTGTGTTGTAGCCTACCTTAGTGGAGTGACCTGACGAGGCAGTCACATAATTAGAACCCCACTTGAGGATGGCATGATGAACTTCGCTCTTGAGGTACTTAGCCAGATTGCAAAACTCCTTGACGGTTGCATCCCTAATAAGGTACATGTCCTCGAGGTACTTGCTCCACCTCTCCTCGAGTGGATGAATTTGCTCTCGTACCCCAATGATCAAGACGGCGAGGTCCTACGTAAGGCTACATTCAGCACTTAGACTCTTCCGACTTGGGGAGCAAAATTGGACCAACGTCTATGGCTTCAAGTTCATCAAATTAGTCATTCTGGGCCAAAGAAACAAGCTACTCCCTTCGCCGATCTTCCCTCAGCTCTGGAGTGGGGGGCAATTGATGAGGGCAGATTTGGGCCTCTAGTGATATCATGATACATGCCATCTTGGAAAAGACCGGATGACACACAAACACCACATAAGCGATGATTTGGAGTCCCAAATCGTGGTTCGTCTTCCCCCCGACCTGGCAACCTGCCTTTGTAGCTGGCCTGGCGACTTTGACCACAACTTAGGACGGCTAGAAGCACCTCGTCTAGGGCCAACTTGTAGCAGCTCGTCACTAGCCGAAGTGGCCTCGACGTGAGGAGCGACCTCCCTCGAGGGCTTGTCCTAATTGAGGTCCAGGTGACAACCTGCAAGATGTGCTCACTAACCAATTCTGCATGCACAACCTGTCACTACTGGGTCTCTCGGAAGTTGGCCCTCGTACCAAATGTTCCGGAGGAGACTGAGCAAGGCGCAAAGACTAGTCTACGTGTATGACTACCTCCGTGGACTTCAGACCGATTAGGCACAACCTCCCGAAGAACTCGGACGCGATGCGTGAAACCTACGCCAAGCAACGCCTATATAAAGGCCTAACCTCCAACCTAACAAGGTAACAAGTTAGATGCGCAACGTATCTCTCTAGCTCTCTTACTTTCAACTCTCTCACAAAATCTCCGCATTCACTAACTTAAGCATCGGATTGCCCACCCCGGGTAAAAAAGCCCAGGCACTCTGACATTGCTCCCTTGTAGGGCTCTTTGGAAGAATATACGGCTTGCCGAATTATTCAGCTCGGCACCCATACAATCTCTTAGCTCGGCCTAGTCAGCTCAAGAATAAAATCACCTCCTAGCAAGGGAACTTCCATCTCAGCTTCTAACTCACTATCCAGTGCGCGCAAGAGCCATCGAAATGCACATCATCAAGTTTCTTAGTCAATGGGATTGTACCAATTTTTTCCCTCTCAAAATCCAAAATCCTAACACCCCGATAATTACATTCATCGTACAGGTAATCAAGCTGTTGATTGGTTGGCAAATGAGAAACACCAAAGGTTTTTGTTTGTTTCTTTTGTAGATATATGGGAGTTTCATTTTCTTTTATTAATTGATGTCTTAGGTTTTTCTTTTTCATGTATCATTTAACTCCTCTTGTTTTTTATAAAAAAAGACATTATATTAAAAAAAAAAACTTATAACCAATCAACCAGAATTATAAAAGTGATAGCCAATGAGGTGGTGTTTATCAGGATTCACAAGGGCTTTTGATTGGTCAAAGATCTTCCAGTGTGCATCATTAGATTTTTCTCAAACAACATTGACTATGAGATAAGAGGTCCCTTTGAGCAATGAGGAAAGAAGGTTCTTTGCCTCCCTCATTTCTTCTGTACAATATAAATATATATATTGATAGGCCCACATATAATATAGATATAGACATAAGCACTTGGCTTTGTACTTCAAGTTAAAATACCTCTGCCACATTTAATTATTATATCTAAATGTTGTTTAAATTGCTTTAAAAATAAGCAATTACAATGAAGGCCAAATATGGATCATGTGCAACGAGAGACAAGGAAACTTTATGCCATGGTATAAATGGATTATATAAATTTATAAAATTTGATTAATCCTTGAAAATCTATTACACCATTACGACATTAGAGAGTTTAATAAAGAATTTACCTTGAGTTCAATTTGATAGAATGTTTATTCTGATTCAGTGTCAAGTAGAAGATAATGAAGTATGTGTTTGGTTCTGTTTATGTTTATTGAATAAATGCTGCCACATAGTTTTGTGCGCCTCTCCTGTTGTAGGAAGCTTCATTTTGGAGCTTTCTAAAACAGATATGTGTTTATTGGCACTTTGCTGATGTGGTGCCTAATGGCGCCTATGTATTATAAACACCCTCATTAATTGCTTTTCTCGGTTTTACAGCCACATAAATACAAAACTTTTATTCAATAAACATAAACAAAACCAAACATTCTTTAATGGCGCCTATGTATTATAAACACCCTCATTAATTGCTTTTCTCAGTTTTACAATCACACCAATACAAAACTTTTACTTGATAAATATAAACAAAACCAAACACCCTCAAAGAATGTCTTCTTTAAAAAAGTAATTTTGACATTTAAAAATTTTTTAAGCCACACATGTCATCGTATTCATATGAAATAGATAACTAACGAACTGTGTTTAATGATGGGAACTAAATTGACTGGTTTTGAGAGTTTAGACTATGTTAAGGCTATGTTTGGTTTGAAGGAAAAAGTAGGGAAAAGAAAGAAAGGATAGAAAAACCTATACAAGATTTGTAAATGTTTTCCTAACTTTTCTTTCCTTTCCCTACTTTTTCCTTCAAACCATATAGGATTTATCCAAAAGAAAATCACCAACACCTTGAAATAATGACATTGGTCATTTTTTAAAAGGTTGTTACTTGTTGAAAGTTGAATGGGAGGGACATTAGGCCCCTCGTGTTGGATCCAACATTTAAAATTTCTCTTGATTGGCTTTGGCGGGGATTTGTTTGACTTTGACCAGTCCGTCCTACGCTTATGTTTGATTGGATTTTTTTTTTGAAGACGATTGGATTAAAACTTATAATCAGGGAGACAAAGTGAAGGAAATTTCTTACATTTTTCCATCGAACCGAATATAACCTTAATCAGTTTGAATACCATTAGCGAGAGAGCGAGAATCTGCTGACCAACAAACGCTGGCCACATCCGTCTGCATAAACATCACAGTCGTACATTGTGAATATCTCCCCCCGTTAACAGGAATAAATGGTATAAGAAAGAGATGTGCGGCACGGCATGTAGAGGTGTGCACAGTAACACAACGTTAAGTGCTCAGCAAATACGGCTCCCAAACAACCCGGTGAAGACGGTAGTCTGACCGACTTTGTTCTGACTTCAGAGTTGTGTAAGTTGTAACAACTGACAACAGAGAAGAGAAGAAAGCCAATCAAATCTCCAATTTCCCCGCTTTAATTATCGTTACAACTTACAATTCACCGATTCTAGCCCTCTTGCTGGTTGTTTGTGATGGGGAGTTTACAACGACTACAGAAAGAACAAAAATCGTAAGCCATCATCAGTTGAGAGAGACAGAGAGAGAGAATCCTCTGATCTTAGCTCCGCTTAGTTAGTTCGAGAGAAAAGGGAAACCCCGATGGACAGACTTGTGAAGGTAGACGTGAAGGAGCTGGAGCTAACCTTCAATCCAGGACAACGATGCAGCGCTACCTTCCGGTTAACCAACCTCATGCACACCATGTCCGTCGCCGTCTCCCTCACCGCCACCCCACAACCCTCCCTCTTCTCCTTCGCCCAGGCCCAGCAGCAACTGCACCATCCCTTCTCCATCCTCCCGCCCCTCTCCTCCTCCCCTTTCTCTCTCCTCCTCTCTCAACTCTCCGACAACCCTCCTCTCTCCTCCCCTTCCCACACCCTCCTCGTCCGCACCTCCATGCTCCCCACCGGCAAAGCCAACCCCGACGATTTCCTTCGTATATTCTCCAACCCGGGACCCCAAGTCTTTAAGGACGCCGCCGTCCCCATCTTCTTCGTCGGAAGCCACGTCGCCCAGTTCTTGCTCTCCCCTTTTCGTCCGGTTAAAACCCTCGAAGTCGATTTTCTCCTCTCCAAAGCGATCTCCCGGTGCACCGTGTCCCAACTTACGACCCTACTCCGATCTTCCGTGCGCTGCGGAAACCCTAGTCACGTTTCTACCCTCATCGATGCTGGTGGGGATGTAAACAGTAGGGATTCCGACGGACAGTCGCTCATGTCGTTGGCTGTTTCTTCTGGCCACATCGATGTTGTTAGGGTTCTACTTGTATCCGGTTATCAAATTGACCATTCGGCTGATCGGTTCTTGCACGAAGCGGCCGCCTTGAACCAGATCGATTTGATGGACGCTTTGTACCGGGGCCTTGGCGGGATTAATGTGAATTCCGTTAATCCAGTTGGTCGGACTCCGGTCCACGTATCAGCCTCTCATGGCCACATCGACTTGCTTGAGTTCTGCTTGTCGAAAGGCGGCAATCCCGAGCTGGCTGACTCTAACGGGTGGACTCCGCTGCACTGTGCCGCCGCGGACGGACATGTGAAGTGTGTGGAGTTGCTGTTGGAACATTCTCGGTATTCGAAATACGCGATGACTAAAGATGGGAAGACCGCATTCTCGCTTGCAATCGATAATGGGCACTCGCATTCAGACCTGCTCGACTTGCTACGTTTGGGTGATGTGTTGCAGCGGGCGGCAAGGCTGGATGATGTACATGGAATGAAGAGCTGCCTGGCTCAGGGGGCGAAGGTGAACGGAAGGGATCAGAACGGGTGGACGCCTCTGCACCGAGCTGCGTTCAAGGGTCGACTTGAGAGTGTGAAGCTGTTACTCAGCCATGGAGCTGAAGTGGACCTTGTTGATGATGCTGGTTACACGCCACTGCATTGTGCGGTGGAGGCAGGGCATACAGAGGTGGCTCTGTATCTGATTTCGCATGGAGCCTGTGCGAACCTGAAGAGCTTCATGTGTCTGTGTTCTCCTAGCATGGACAATTTCAAGAATCATCCTGCATCGATTTCCCTTGGGTGTCGTGAAAATGAACGACGACCTTGAATCGACCACAGATCACCTGCTTGTTATAATTCTTCTGTGCATCATTCTTTTTCAATCAGACAAAGATGCTGACTGCTGACTGCTGAGAGAAATCTCTAGTGTCGATCTTCACTCTTCACTCAAGTGAATTGTAACTGGGACACTGGGTTATGTCTTGACGCTTAATTGAGGGCCTGCAGAAGTGTCCTTGTGTAAAAAACTGGGGAAATGGGAATCGGTCTCTCTCTCTCTCTCTCTCTTCAATACATACAAACACACAGAGGCACAAAATGAATTGAAGACACTGAACTTGCATGTCAGGTTATCCCCAAGAAACTCCCCGAAAGACCGCAATACAATTACTTATCAGCCTCTGATATCACTCTTCACCGGCTAAAACCGTGAATCACGGCCCTTGATGTATTGGTGTAGCCAAACTTTGAATTGGATAAAGTGGCGTAAAGTGAATCACGGCACCAAAGGCCGTGGTTTCACTGTTTTAGCCCAACAATATTTCATGTGAAGAAGCTTCTCTGTTACAGTTCAGTAATGCCGGTGAATAGATAGATGCTAGAGGAAAGTGCCATTACCATACACTGATTTTCTTCGGATTTGGCGCTACATTACATTAAATTACTAGAAATTAGGGATATCTTTAAAGTTTGAAACTTGGCAACAGGTGGGGAAATTACATATCAGGCTAGATAATCGGTGAAATAGGGGTGGAATCGGAATCGAATCGGACTGGCCATTCTGATTCCAACCGTTTGGTTGGATGGAATCAGAATCTGATTTCCATTCCTTGTGAAATGCCATTTTCTCTTACAAATGAGATCCCATGCCAGCTGATTTTCATTCCTATTCCAATTCCCATTTGAACCAAACAGGTTATGGGAATAAACAATTTTAATTCCGGTTCCAATTCCGATTTTTAATCCGCATCAATTGTTCGGTTATGAGTATGACACTTTGAGCTTTAACTACAGGCATAATATGTATTCTAAATTATGCTGCTGAGTTCTTTGGAGGGGAAGAAAAAGAAAATAGTTGAAATACTATTCCAAAATAATTGATAATATCCTTGACACATCTATAGATAAAACATAAGTACAAATTCCATAAATTTTGATCAATACCTGCCTCCAAAGTTTCATATTTGATTTGATGCAAAACTACTTGACCTACATCCTTCCACGCAATAGAATATTATTCTTTATCTTTAGAAATCGAGTGCTTGTGAGTTATAAGCAGCACTCAACAATCTATGAGCCTTCAACGGGTATGACATCCAAAAACCACTGAAAAATCAGTCCTTACACAAGTTGGTCCAATTTGTACTATTTACAATGTTGGATACATACAAAATCAACAACAGACACTACCTCTAGGTCAGTTTATAAGGCTTGGGATTGCCAAACAAACACCTACGAATGGAAATGGCAAGATCCCCAACTTTGTGAGGGTGGAGGAGAACAGCACAAATTCCAAAACACATGGCGGTAGCAACAACAATGAATACAAGGGGGCGCGAGTTCCTTGTCGTGTTAGAAAGAATGTAACCACAGGACTTCCGTGGCTCGTAGTTCACATTCATAACAACGTCTCTATTTATTAATGGGACATTTACACTGCTGTCTCCTGAATTTGAAGTTGCTACTGCTCCAAAAATTTCCACCCCACCGGTTCTGCTGATATCCTGCAATAGAAAAAAGAAAAGGGTTACCACCAAAAGAGTCAATTTTTTGAATTAACAAACTTGCAGTTTCTCATGCACTGACCAATTTTACCAAAGCAGAGCTCTATAGTGACCTAGAATATTCTAGCATGAATTATTAAGTAAATGGAATATATGCAAGCCAACACATCAATGTAAAAAATATGCAGACTGCTATTAGGTCTGAACCATGGAAATTTTGCACAATTTTACAAGTCATATTATACAGTTCCAGTTTTAAGTTTCTATTAGTGCAATATGATAGTTAATCTCAGACTCGTCGACGATGTCACCAACTACAGTTTTTCAAAAGAAAATTATAATATTCCCTTCTTAACGATAGAAATTGTAGCAATTCCATATTACAAGCCCAAAAACAAAGTTTAATATGACTGCAACCATGGCATAACAAGTCCAATCAAAACACAATCATTTCGCTCATGTTCCAAAGAATATCACACTTCACATGATAAAAGCATGAAAACATGGGCATCATAGGGTACATCATGGTTGCGGCCAAAGTATACTCCAAATAAATATTAGAAATTGCAGGAATTTGGAGCACAAGGCAGAATTGGGGGAAGGGGGGCAGGCAGCAAGCAAAAGCCAAATCAAAATAAATTTCGGCTTCAACATGAAAAAAGAAGACAGGCTATCAGATCCACAGAAATTCGAGGATAAAAATTGACTGCTCACCTGATTGTTAGGCATGCCACTGATCATGTCATTTTTGTCAAAGCTTTTAGAATAAGAATCCCTTCCTGAATATTTTGGTAAATCCTGAATGTTTTGAATTTTCTTGCAGACAATTTCACTGGCATGATCCATATATTTATGAAATAGCCTGACGCCAGCATCATCAGTTGCATTGACAGTGTTATTTAACTCTTTGTCCACAACCTTCATAGCCTCTAATATTTTCATCAGAACCATGGTCAAGTTATTCTTTATTAGGAAATCCAGTAAAGAATTGAATCTCTGTATCTGTGTAGAAGTTGAGAGGCTTTGGATGCTTCCTAACTCAGACTCCTTAAGTAGCCATGCAATATCTAAAAGGAGTTCAGAAACTGCTGTTTGTCTCAATACAAGTACCTCGCACTCATCAGAAAGGGAACCAGCAATTGCTAATTGAGGTCTCTCCGCACAGAAAGATCCATCAAGCTTGTGCTGTAACACCTGCATTTCACTACATATTTCTCTGTTTGCAATGAGGATAGGAATGTAATTGGATATCCCAGACTCATTCTCAACCTACAAAACAAAATTTTGAAAATAACAAGATTTAGTAAATTATGCAAATGATTTATTTGCAAACCTTCCATAGAAATAATAAGTTCTCATAACAGCATGTTTCCAGCTAGTACTAATGTAGTAGATACTTTTGATACCTGAACCTGACTCAGGCATTCACTAATATGCTAGTCTTATTGGTAACTATGAAGAGATTCTTTGTAGAGTTCACCAAAATTAAAAATTAACCACCTAGCCAAATAAAATAACCAAACAGGAAAAGCAAAAAGATAACAAAATCCCACTTGTAAGAGGAATATATCATGTAGATACTTGTCTCAGAAGAATATATTTTCAATAATTTAGCACATTACAAGAGATTATCCTCGTTTTTTATTGTAAGCTTACACCATCAGCATATGCATACATATATTCACCTTACAAGGTACAGAATGAATGAAGTCCAAGTAAGAATGTAATATATCCAAGAGAATGAACAAAGGATTTGAGTGAATGGCTCTGTTACCCAAATATGATCTTATTCTGAACTATCATAATCAGGCCACGGTAGCAATCTAAATTATTACAGATTTACATATATGATTGGCCAAGGTTCAAAATATTGATACACCCCGATACAGTGGATTGGGTGTATCGGTACTTTGAACCTAACACTTACCTTTTTTAAGCTTTTTTTCTCAAAATTCAGGAGAGGAGTGAGAATAATAATGTTTAACGCTTAAAACAAAGTTTCTTAAGAAATCCTTAAAAACAGCATATCGGTGACAGTCCAATATGTTGTGAAATTTTGATCCTTGTGATTGGTATCGTCCAAACCGATGGGGTGTTCAAAGCTTTACCAAGCATCAAGTTGCAGCTAAGCAGCACAATGGTAAAGGGAGACAAGTGAAAAATCAAATTCCTGGATTTGGCTAAAACTTCATTAATCAATTATGTAATACATCCAGAAAAAATCACTAAAAACACCAACAAGATAGGCATTACATCGGCACAAAACCATTTGAACCACAATGACATCAATAGCCATGCTTATATTTCATTACCATTTAGATTGGGTGCCACACAGATTTTTTTTCCAAAGACAATAGAACATTTCCAAGAACCCACCTCAACAAATGCAGGTCCGAAAAGTTTGGGGTCGGTGTGAGGAATATATATCTTGTACATCTGATGGTCACAACTATGAGTATCATCACTGACATTTTGTGTGGGCGAAATGGCAAGACAATAATCATATGAAAGATATTTTCCACAAAAAGAAACAAGAAACCTGCTGCCATAAAAGACACAATTATTAATACCAAGTAAAAGTCAATTCACCGTCTTCAAAATGCAATGATTTGTAATCGTTGGATATTCTCATACACAAAAATTTTTAACAAGCAGAATAATTTTTTTCCAAGATATGTATTGTATAAGACAGCATGAGTACGATATCAAAGAATTGAAATTCTTATTTGGTAATTGAAATTGGACAGTGGCAGTTGACTGGAAGAGGAGTGGATTTCAATTTGCAAATAGATATTCATGTGCAAGAATATTGAAGAAGTCAAGTCTTTTTCAATTTTAGTGGCATCCTGCCATTGGATACTCAGAGATTCTTGTTCTCTCTATTCATGATTATTCAAAGTTTTTCTATAGATTAGTGGTAGTTCTGTCTGCTTTCAATTTGCTTCATAATGTTTTATCCCCTTCTCTTGTATTCTTTATTTTAATAAATTTCTTATAATTATAATACCAAAAAAATACTTTTTTTTCCAATTTGATCAGCAGTTTCATGTGATTCTCAAGTAAAGTCACTCTGCTTGCAGAGGTTAGGAAAGGAGATGAGTAATCTTTATGGAAAAAACAGCCTTTAAACCACCTATTTGTGTACATGCCATATTTGTACATGTTAGGAGCCCTCTGGTTGGGAGGGAGCTTGCCCTCTTAGGCAAGTAAAACGGCAAAGCAGGCACCATATGAAAAGTTCTATACCTTGTATTTTATTTGTGTTCCATAATACTTAAGAGATCATGTGGTATGTAATATTAATATGCTGTTTTTTTTATCAGTAAACATGTATCTTGATAAATTTCAGATTGTAAACAGTTAATACAACTTGGTAATGGGACTGTTGATCCCTTTAATCACTCTATTCTATCCCTCATTACAGTGCAGCCCAAAATAGTTGCTGTCTTAATGCCCCCTGTTTTGCTAAAACATCAGCTAGTCCATTTGCACTTCTTCAGACTCATTTAAATTCAGCCTCAACCTCCTTTGCAATCTTTTCCACTTCCCTAATCACATGTTTAAACATCCACAGGGTATGGCTGCTGTTTGCTGCCCATGAAATTACTACTTTTGAGTCCCCTTCCACCTCAACATGCCTGTATCCTAACTGTTTGACTAACTTTAACCCTTGTAGTCATGCTAAAAGTTCAGCCTTCAGTGAGTTTCCGGTGCCAATTGGTCCTGAGAACATACCCAATATCCTCCTTTCAGAATTTCTGAATACTCCTAATCCTGAAATGCCCAGATTTCCAAAGGAGCTCCCATCAAAATTCAGTTTCACTTTATTGCCCTCTGGTGGTTCCCACTCCAGCCTTAATATGCTGGTTACTTAACTTATTTGATTGGATCCTTACTGCAATATGTCCTTGTTTGAATCCAATATGCTGTTACTTATTCACTCAGATAATTCAATGTACTGTAAGTTTGTAAGATGTATTTGCATGGATTCTATACTATTGACTTGTTTTGCCTATCTATTTCACTTCTTTCCATATGAAAACCGTTGGTGGAATTAATTAAATTACGTATTGAATAAGTAATGTTATCTTTATAAAATTAAAAACGCAATGTGTCTTGAATCTTGATATGCAAAATTAACTATTATTGTCTTTTTAGTATTTTAAAATGCCAAAGGGTTAGTCTTGTATCCAGTCCACATCTCCCAAGACCCCAAAAATCTGGAGCCAACATTGGACAATGGCCTTTCTTTAGTATTTCAAAATTCAAAATAATAAGATATTGAAAAAATGGCACATGTCAATGTGGATCATATCCAATAAATTATAGGCCTATGCTTCAAAAATCCCTTGTCTTTCATTATATATAATTCCTTATTTCAAATTTCTTTTTTTTATCAATAACAGAAAGCTTTATTAATGAATAATATTTGTGAAACTTTAATTACAAAAAAGATGAGGTAAACTATCTTAACTCCCCGGCAACAAAAGGACAAAGAACAAAAACAAAAATTAGCCAAAACAAAGATTCCTTAGCCACCCCTTGCTTAGCTAACCCATCAGCCATTGAATTAGCACTTCTCTTCGCCCAACTGTACTTCACCTCTATATCCTTACTCGGTCATTTAAATTTGTTCTTTTCATTGCTGTAGTTCCACAAACCACTATTGTCTCCTTTCAGCCACCTAATCACCACCTCCGAGTCCCCCTCAATAACTAAGCATCTGATGCTTAATTCTCTTGCTCTTTGGATTCCTTCAAGAACTGTCTCGGCCCTAAGAGAGTCACCCTCTCCAATTGGTCCAGAGAACATGGCAATAATAAACCCCATCCTCATTCCTGAACACACCCCCAATCCCATAAGGCCCTGGATTCCTTAAACTACTTCCATCGAAATTCAGTTTTATGAATCCAACGGGAGGGGGGGTCCAAGAGGGTCTATAGGTCCTCTTACATAGAGCAGCAGTAGCTACCTCTTTCCACTTTCTCAACAAGTCAGCCATAGAAAATTCAGAGAATATCTCCATAGATTTCAACCAGTGAGCTACCCTTAAGTGTATCAACTTTATTAAGTTTTCTGTGGTTCTTTCCTTGTCTGTAAATAGTCGTGTCCTTATTTCAAATTTCCTATTACATGCACAAGCTCAAAGAAATAAATAAGAAATATGAGCTACTAAAACTTCAGAATAAGATAAATAAATAAAATTGATAATTGCCGCATGTAATGTTAGATTTACAATCGATCATATTACTTGTTTCGGCAACCAAGTTGGCAGTTCTTGGAACTCAATTAAATAGGGTTATGTTTGGGTAAGCTTTTTTTTTATATAATTATGTTTGGGTAAGCTTTTTCTAAGTACTTTATTGCTTTGGCAGCAAAAAAATATGCTTTAGTGTTTGGTAACATGTGTTTTTTGGAGAAAAAACCCCAAAACAAAAACATTCTTTTGGTGGGGAGTTAAGTCTTTTTACCTCCCCTTCGTACCTAAGCTTCACATAGTTTCATATCATTAATAAAGTCTCTTGTTATTGATAAAAAAAATCACTAAGTAATTCTGGGTTACTTCATGCTTTTGATTTGCACTTTGGGCCAAATATGCTTTTCACAAAATGTACAAGGTGCAAACATATATGCCACATGGAAAAATTTGTGAAACATGGCAAGATATATGCCATGTTTGATACTTATAAATATATGGCATGTGGCAAAATATATGACACGTGGTAAATTTGTGAAAATGACAAATATATGCCATGTGACAAATAGTGGTGGGATGGTTTAGAAATATAACTGCTGGAACTTGGAAGGATAAATACATGCTAAGGGAAATCAGATTGTTGGCAGCAGAGCTGAATGCAACTTTCCCATGGGCTCCTAGATATGCTAACAGCATGGCTGATGCTTTGGCCAGACAAGAAGTGAACAGAACAGACTTGTTTTGGGGGGTCAGTCCCAGGGGGACTTGATTAAAAGAAATGCCAGATCGGGGTAGATAGTGTATGCTAGCCTACAACAGAAAACTTTCTGGTGTACTATAGCAATTCATTCTTTTAACAAATTAATAAAATACTCTGTTGGTCACCAATCAAAAAAAGACAATAAAAATGTCCCATCTAATTAACAATCAAAAAACTCAGAATTAAAGAAAAGTACCATACCGAAATTTAGGCTGCTGTAGATTACTACCACAAGCAACAAACTCCATGGGTTTTCCAGCTTCAAAACAAGTAGGATGAATGTAGTGAAGCCTTGGTGCTCGCACCTCCATCTTAATATTCACTAATGACATTCCATCTACATTATCAACAAACATGTAAGGAGTCACAAATAAACTCTACTACCATAAATTTCCTTTTTTACCTCATAAGAGAATAACATCACATCAGAGAGAGTGAGAGAGAGAGAGAGAGAAAGAGAGAGAACTTTCAGTTACAATTTCAAACATTCCACCAATTCCTAAGAGAAGTCTTGCAATGAACTAGATGACACAAATATTTTATGGTAAACGTAAACCCATCCCTTCCATGTCTGAACTTCCAAGCTAAAAAGTAATCGTGCATTTCAAATTAAAATCCTAGCATTTTAAATGTTTAGGCTGAAACCCTGCTTAGCTTTTTCACTGGATTAATACAAATTTACCCATCCCACATTGTCATAACCTTGTTTTGCTAGCAAAGTTAGCTTGAAGAATAGCATCTAAGGCAATCTCTGGACCCAGGTTAGTAGAGCAAAATATATTAAAAACAAGAATTCTTGAGGGATGACTTCAAAACCAAGGGTTCTTGGGATTGGAGGAGTATCCCAGTGAGGAGGGGGGTGTTCTCAAAGGTTATTTCTGGAGGGTGAATAGAGGCAGTGATATCCATTTGGGAAGACCCCTAGATTCCAGATGTCAATGGTTTCAAATTTTTGGGACCTAAGCTAAGTCCAAGCTCCCCCTTATCAGTAAGTGAATTGATAGGTCCTGAGACAAGAGATTAGAGAGAACCTGTTATTAGAAATTTGCTTAGTGAGTTCTATTCTAATAAAATTCTTGGCATTCCTTTGGCAGTTGAGGAATGGGATGATAAGCTCATGTGGTCTCCGGATGCTCAGGGCAAGTTCTTGGTTAGATCCATGTTGCATGATGATGACCAAAAAGAAAGGGAAGATCATACCACTAAAGCCCAATGGAGTCTGTTATGGTCAATACCCGTGGAACCAAAAATTAAAATTTCTTACGAAAATGTGTGCATGAAGCAATAGTGGTCAAAGCTAATTTGTTCAAGTGTGGTTTAACTGATTATGACATATGTCCAATCTGCATAAAGCACATCTGAAACAGTCTCTCATGCTTCATTCTTATGTGATCATGCTCAAAGAATATGGTTTAGCAGTATTTTTAATTCTCGCATGTCCTTAGTCCCTAATAGCTATAATTTTGAAGACCGGTTTTTTGAGTGGATGAAATTGTGTACTGCCGTTAAAGATCAAAAGGTGTTTTTGAAAACTGATCACTCTTGGAAGGTTTTTGGTACCAGTGTCATTTCTCCAAGGTGTTTCCACCATGTCACAACCATGTAGGTCTTTAGATTTCTTCCTCACTTTTTCTGGTTTGATTGAACGCTTTCAAGCCATTTCAAGCAACACCGAATGCCTAGGATTCTGTAAGACAGTGAGAGCAACTTTTGGAGAAAACGTCATTTTGATTTTTCTTGCAATGGAAACAACATTTTCACCTTTTTGCCCATGTGGTGCCTAACTGGCACCAAATAACAATATAAAATGTGAAACATGCATAGAACCTGGATTTACTTTACTGTATTCCAAGGTGTGGCTGTTGTCTGAGAAAACGGCAGTGATACCAAACATCCCCTTTAGATTATATGGTATTTTCCTTCTAGAAGAGCGAGAAACGAGAGAGGAGATGAGAGGAGAAAAGAGAGAAGGGATGAGAAGAGAGAAGGAGAAAGGTTTGAGAGTCAAAAGGTGTTGTTGGTGGCGCCCAGCTTCTTATTTATAATAACTTAACATAAAATAAGTAGAAGATTACATTTATACCCCTGGTGGCACACCTAATAATAGTAGAAAGCCTTATGTGCTGATTTCGGCCAAGCTTCTTGTGAAAGGAAGAGTAGAAAGTTGGGGATTTCAGCAAGAGATAGAGTAAAGGGAAGAAAAGAGAAGAAGGTCGACTAGGATAGATTCACATGACCCTAGCTGCCAGCCCCTCATTCTATTTATAATTAACTTAAGTATGAGATATTACAAGGATGCCCTTAGTAGGGCGGCAACTCAAACTAAGTAATTACAGCTCTTCAAAAAATAAAAACTAATGGGCCCAAGGCCCAACAACATCTTAAATTAAAAGAAAATAAACTAAACACGGCCCACTCAACACTCCCCCTCAAGTTGG